TTTTTTCCTTCTAGCTCACCATTTCACTAAGGAGGTTACCTTTCAAGCTTTCTGATTTCAAATGAGTCTCGGTTTCAATTTGGGACCTTGTGGGAGCTTGAGACCATGTCTTCTGCTCCCACAAGACTGTTAAAATTCAGATCTTTGTGTAACTGAGCTAAACAAATGTGTCCAGGAAAGGAGTGGCATAATTGTCATCTTAATAAGCTAGTTTTCAACTTCTTCCTTATTTTTGGTCTATGAGGATTTCACCTACTTTTTGAAAGCTCAGCTATGCATTTTGAGATTTTCTTTATTTTTAAATTTTTTATAGATTCAGGGGGTACAGTACAGGTTTGTTACATGGGTATACTGCATAATGGTGAGGTTTGGGCTTCTAGTCTACCCATCACCCAAAGAGTAAACATTGTACCCAATAAGTAACTTTTCAACCCTCACCCCTCTCCCATCCTACCCACTTTTGGAGTCCTCTGTGTCTATTATTTCTTTCTGCACATCCATATGTACCTACTGTTTAGCTCCCTCTTCTAAGTGAGAACACATGGTATTTAATTTTCTGTTTCTGAGTCATTTTACTTAAGATAATGGCCTCCAGCTCCATCCATGTTGCTGCAAAAGACATGATTTTCTCTCTTTTACGGATGCAATGTATTCCGTGGTGTTTACATACCACAGTTTCTTTATCCAGTCATCTCAGGCACTTAGATTGATCCCATGACATTGTTATTGTGAACTTTACTGTGATAACATACAAGTGTAGTGTCTTTCTGATATAATGATTTCTCGTCCTTTGGGTAGATACTCAGTAGTGGGATTCCGCATCAAATGGCAACTCTACGTTTAGTTCTTTGAGAAATCTTCATACTGTTTTCCATAGATGTTGTACTAATTTACATTCTCATCAACTGTGTATAAGCATTCCTTTTTTCGTTTGAGAGTTTTTATAAATGTATTTCAACCAGTAGTTCTTGGTGTTTTGTTGCAGAATTTTTTTTTTTTTTTTGACACGGAGTTTCGCTCTTGTTACCCAGGCTGGAGTGCAATGGCGCGATCTCGGCTCACCGCAACCTCCGCCTCCTGGGCTCAGACAATTCTCCTGCCTCAGCCTCCTGAGTAGCTGGGATTACAGGCACGTGCCACCATGCCCAGCTAATTTTTTTGCGCTTTTAGTAGAGACGGGGTTTCACCATGTTGACCAGGATGGTCTCGATCTCTTGACCTCGTGATCCACCCGCCTCGGCCTCCCAAAGTGCTGGGATTACAGGCTTAAGCCACCGTGCCCGGCTTGTTGCAGAATTTTTATACTCATGCCACATGAGGTGTTAAATATTCCATGAAATACGATCATAAATTCTAATTTTTAAAATTTAAAAATCTCTCCTGTGCATAGTATTTTATAGTTTTGTCACATTGGAATGAGAGTCGGGAATTGTGTCCCAGTCCTAACTTTCTTATTTGCTATTTTGTGACTTTGGGTAAAGAGTCTAACATTTCTCAAGCTATTTCATTACCTTTAAATTAGAAAACTTAGATCAAGTGATCATAAGATTTCAAGTTCTATTATTTATTGAGTCTATGAAGCAAAACTGGTGTTGGTGAATAGTCAAGGTGTAATAATAATAATACTCATTACATGGGACCATGACTATTTCTACCACTGACTCTATGTATCTTTCACTATACCTTGCTTAAGGCTCTAAGTTTTCTTTCTTTGGCTGAGCTTTTTTTCTTGTGTTTTGCTTTTTAAATTGTGGTAAGAAGGAACAGATAATATAAAATGTACCTTCTTTAACCACTTTTAAGCATACTGTTCAATAGCGTTAACTATGTTTACATTGTTGTACAACATTGAGCTTTAAACTTTAAGATTTAGGTTATTCATGGCAAGGAACGACAGATCTATTTTATGTCCTGTTCTCTTGCCTTCACTGTCTTCCTTCTTCCCCCCAACCCCCATTGGCTGCAACAATGTATGGGGGGAGAAATGCTGCAACCTAAAATTACCTAACTAAAACTCAAAGACTTAATTTCTTGCGTTGTCTTAGTGTTTCATATCTTTTTTTTTTCCTGGGGCCTTTTTGCTAGATTAACTCACAATTCTGGAAATCGGTCAGCCACATACAGGTATATATTTGACTTCTGCAGTATGAACATAAAAAGAGACTACTTTTTGGCAAAATATTGGTGGGTTTAGTCATCCTTCCATGAGCCTCTTTTGAAACGGCTGTGTTATCACCATCTGTGTTATTTTTTCTCTTTTGTAGTTTTAATTGACCATTTTTGCTAGATCCTCCTTTGCCAATAGTTTTGTATGTGATTCAGTTCATTCATGTGATTTATTCAACATCACAACTATTAACTCCAGGAATTCCTGCATATTTTACAAGATATTCAATTTGAGTTTGCAGTTATAGGACTTACAGTGTTAGATATTCACAGTATCAGCTCCTAGACCATGACGTCAATGCAAAGACACAAGCTACTATTTTAGGTGGGGGAAGGAATATTTGAGGATGTCTAATCTCATGAGGCAACTAGTTCACTAGGACATACTTTCATGTCATGATTATTTCTGCTTCAGTATACGTCGTAAGTACAGCAGTGAGGTGAAATGATGAACACTCAGAAAATGAGGTATCCTCTTTTATTAGTCACAAGGTATTCCTTCAACCAGATGATACCTTCCATTTAAATCAAAAGTTATTTCTAAATTTGCTTATCACTTTTAGTTAGAGGTCAGCTCTGTCAACAGCTTACATCTTAATTCAATGGCCTCCTGAAAAATAATACAAAATCACACAACTAGTCATTTCAGAGAGGGGAGAAAAAAAAATCAAACTGTTTTCCTGGTAGTTGTAGGGGAAAAAAAATAAACTTGATTAAAATTTCCATCTGCCATTTTGATTTTAGAGACAATGTGAAAAGATACATTCCATCAATAACAGAAGCAGATTTTTCTAGATTTTAAGATTTCCAATATCAGGGTTTATGTTAGAATCAAGAGTTACAATTATAATTAGCAGTGTTTTTTCTTTTCTTAGCTGTATATAAAATATGCCTTAATATCTATAGTGTTTTAAGTTAAAAATCTAGTTTAAATTTCTAATTTAAGTAATAATGTACTAACAACTATTAGCCACTTTTTTTTTTTTTTTTTTGAGACGGAGCCTTGCTCTGTCACCAGGCTGGGGTGCAGTGGCACAGTGTCAACTCACCGAAACCTCCGCCTCCAGGGTCGAAGTGATTCTCCTACCTCAGCCTCCCAAGTAGCTGGGACCACAGGTGCGCGCCACCACGTTCAGCTAATTTTTGTATTTTTAGTAGCGACGGGGTTTCACCATGTTGGCCAGGATGGCCTCAATCTCCTGACCTCGTGATCCACCAAAGTGCTGGGATTACAGGCGTGAGCCGCCGCACCCAGCCTATTAGTCAAAATATTAAACTGACATAATGGCCATGTAGAATGCAACTTTCAAGTGGACACATTCCACTGATAATAATAGCAATAGCAACGCATATATATACTATGACCAGCCACTGTTTTAGGAGTTTTACTTCATTATCTTCTTTTTTACAGTTACGCTTTTTAGGTAGTTGACTGTATTAGGCTCACTGTTACGGTGATAGGTGAGGACACTTAAATACAGAGAAGTGATCTGGCCAACATCTCACACATAGATGGCTGAGTCAGATGTTTCACTTCGGTTTAAAGTTATTACCTGCCGGTAAGCAAACAAGTGATATTATAAATAAAGCACTTTATGAAAAGCATACTACTAATTTTTAGTATCTGCCAAAGAGTTGACATGTATTTGCAGAACAAGCAGCCATATTGTTTTCTTAAGACCCTACTGTAGGCAAAATAATGATCCCCCAAAGACATTTATCTCCTCATCTCCGGAACTCCTGAATATATTAGTTTACGTGGCAAAAGGATTCTGCTGGTGTGATCCAGGGCAGAGACCTGGAAATGGGAGGATGATCCCGGATGACTGAGGCGGGCCCCCAGACTCTTCCCCACCTGCCATCAGCGGTAGACTTGAGGATGGACGGGTCAGAGCGACGGCGCGTCACTGGCTTCGAAGACGGAGGAAGGGACCCAAGCCAGGGAAAGCGGGCAGAAGCAGGCACGGACGAGGAAGAGGCTGTCCTGGGGGTGTCCGGAAAGGCCCGCAGCGCGCGCGACACCCAGGCAGGGTCCCGACCCGCAGGGCCGCAGGCCGTCGGCGCGCCGTCCGCACGGTGCTGCACTGCGCTGCTGCAAGCCGGAGTGCGCGGTCCTCGGTCGCTGCGGCCCCGGGAACGCACGCAGGCCCCGCCGGGGATCGCACCGAAGCCCCGGAACACGTGGTTCACACAGGCGCTTTAACCCGCGCGGGAGCCGCTGACGGATCGTCCGTCCGCGCGGCCTGGAGGGTCGGAGGCGCGCCCTGCGCCTGGCGGGTGGGCGGCGCTGCCCGGGGCCGCTCCCGGGCGCGGGGCGGGGAGCTCGGCGCTGTCACGCCCGGCGGCGCGGCGGGAAACGCCCCACCCTTCAGCGGGCCTCGGACGTGCATCTGCGGCCAACGCTGTCGGCTTTGACTCTAAGTATTTACGATCCGCTGCGAAGTGCAGGGTCCAAGGAACGCGCGGATTTCTCTCGGCGCCCGCGGTGGGCCCGGGGGCCGCTCCTGAAGTTCCTGGGGTGCGGCCCCACCGCGGAGGGACCACGCTGCACGGGGCGGGCGGAGGCCGCGACCGCGGGGCCGGCCCCAGCCGGGCCTCCCCCGCCCCGCCCCGGCCGCCCCGCCCCGCCCCGGCCGCCCCGCCCCGCCTCGGCCGCCCCGCCCCGCCTCGGCCGCCCCGCCCCGCCGCAGCGCTCCCGAGCTCCCCAGGTGCTTCCAGCGGTGCTCAGCGCCGGGCCCAGCCGGCGACCTCAAACCTCGCGACACCCGCGATTCCCGCGGCCCTTCCTGCTCCGGGCCTCCCCGGGGAGGGACCTGCGGCCGATTGCTCCGCCCACGGAAGGTTGCTCCGCCCACGGACGGTTGCTCCGCCCACGGAAAGGAAGGCTTCTTTCTCGCGAGATCCCAATCCCAGTTCGGGAGCCCGTTCTCGCGGGATTTTCCAAGGCCGGGTGGGACGTTGCCGGGGTTAGGAGAGCGAGGCCGGAGCCGGAGAAGGTCGGAGGGTCGCCGTGCCCGCCTTCTGTCCTCCACGGGCGGCGGCGGCGGCGGCGGGCCCGGGAGGACTAGGCGGACGCCGCCTTGCCAGCCTCACGCGGCGTCTCCTGGCTCCGGACGTCGCCCTCCTCTTGTCTTCGGGTCCCCTCCGTCGCTACCTTTGCCGGGATCCCCCTCCCCCCATCGCCGGGCTTTGGGTTGCCCGAGAGCGATGCTGGGAGGGCGGCCGGAAGTGGCCGCCATTGGCCCCTCGCCGTCCTCCGCCGTCTTCCGGGTGTTACGTGCGGCCGGGCTCGGCCCCTCCCCCTGGCCGGATGGATCCCTCGGCGCCACGGCCCCGCGCGGAAACCGCCGGCAAAGGTACCAGCCGCGCGCTCGCCCCTTCCCGGACGCCCGGCTGCCGCGTCGCGTCGGGCCGGCTCCTGCCGGCGCCCTTCGTGTGCAGGTTTTGCCCCGTAGCTCGTCTTCGGTGACAGCTGCGGATCGTGAATCCCGCCGGGACGGGGACCCTGAACTCGGGCGTCAGCCCCTGGGATCTGACCCCGAGCGACTCGGGGCAGGTGCCTCATCGGTCACGTGGGGTTCGCGGCTGGGCTCCTGTGATGGTTAAATGACGCGGGGAGTCGGAAGCGCAGGGCTGCGACCCCGCGTCTGGCCCATGTTAAGCACTCGGTAAACGTTAAATATTTTCATTCTCGTAAGTCCCAGTTGTTAGTGAATGGCCGAAGTTTGTTGTAAGTACATAAATAAATGAAGGTTGAGATATTTTGTTGAGTTTTGTTGCGTATTAAGTCAGGACATTATGTCTTAAATGGGTCCCCAAGAGGGGTTTTAAAGAAGGTGTGGTTATCTGCCACCCAGATGAATGGCTTCCATTCATAATAGCGCTGTATAACAAAAGCCACCAGGGTTGGGGCGATTTTCCTCTGAGTCCAGCAATATGCTGATGTTCACCTGCTTTCCTTTGAGGAAGATACCATTACATAGATCTCATTACATAGATGAGGAATTCAGAGCTAAAGCTCAGAGAGGGCAGGTAACAAGCCTGAATTCTGAGGTCTAGGAATTGATGACGCTGCAATTCAGGGACCACACATATAAATACCTATAGGATCCTGGCAGGTAAAAATAAATAAATGAAGCTGCGAGTGGATATTATGGTTACTGGGACGTTCATTCCTTCTGTTTAATCTCTCTGGTATTTAGGGAAATCGTGTTGGTGGAAGGAGCAGAAAGCTCCAGGGGAGGGAACTTGAGGAATAGCAAGGAGGCCATTGGAGTGAGAGGGAGAGCGAGATCCTGTCACCAGAATGAGTTGAATTGGTAATTAGTTTAAACCAATACAAATGATTTGGAGTCATCAAATTTTAGGAGACTTAACCCCATTTCCCTATTAAATCCAACAGGAAATCCTCCCAACTTAAGCAATTGTTCTGGAGTTTGGATTCTGAGAGATTCCATTCCTAATTCAAACTTAACTGAATTTATTTCATTCTAGAAATTATCCAGACTCAGAAACCAAAGATATTCCAGTAAGTTGTGTGATTCTCCTAAGGCTTTGTTTTGTTTTGTTTTGTTTTTTTGCGCATGCTATATACACTTACCTGAGATTACAGTTCTCAGACTCTTTTCCCTTTTAAATTAGCATTTCTCAATACTCCCTTCTCATAGCACTCTTCTCTTCCAATGCACTTTTTACAGTTACGTATATGTTTGTGTACTTTTTAGTTTTCTCTCTTGCAAAATATCAAGGATCTGTGAGGTCAATAACTTGTAATAGGCCAGGTGCAGTGGCTCACACCTGTAATCCCAACACTTTGGATCCTGCTGAGGCGGGAGAATAGTTTGGGGCCAGCCTGGGCAACATAAGCGAGACCCTGTGTCTATCAAAAATAAAAAATTTAACGTTGGGAGGCCGAGGTGGGTGGATCACAAGGTCAAGAGATCAAGACCATCCTGGTCAACATGGGGAAACCCCGACTCTACTAAAAATACAAAAAATTAGCTGGGCATGGTGGTGCGTGCCTGTAATCCCAGCTACTCAGGAGGCTGAGGCAGGAGAATTGCCTGAACCCAGGAGGCAGAGGTTGTGGTGAGCCGAGATCGCGCCATTGCACTCCAGCCTGGGTAACAAGAGCGAAACTCCATCTCAAAAAAATAAATAAAAATAAAAAACTTGGCCAGGCATGGTGGTGCACACCTGTAGTCCCAGCTACTCAGGAGGCTGAGACGGGAGGAATGCTGAGCTCAGGAGTTGGTGTTTACAGTGAGCTATGATTGTGCTACTGCTTCCAGCCTGGGCGACGGACTCTTGTCTTAAAAGAATGTAGAATACATTCATCACATGTTTATTGAATGTTTGCTGTGTGGCTCTGTATTGATCCTGGGGATAAAATTTATAACAGTACAGACTTTCTTGAAATGGAAATTACTGTCTGGTGGAAGAAAAAGACAAAAACAAGTGTACATGATAATTAAATGTTATGATAAGTGCTACAGAGGCAATAAAATTATGAGATAAAGAATAATGGGGTACCCTACTCTAAATAGGTGGACTGGGAACAGAGAGACTGACTAATTAGGAATAATTTAGGGAAGATTGGTGGTGGCATGCTTTAAGGCAGAGGTCAGGGAACTACTTACTGCCTGTAGGCTAAATCTGATCTGACAATTCTTTTTGTAAATAAAGTTTTATTGGAACACAGCTGTGCCCATTTGTTCGTGTATTGTGTGGTTGCTTTTGCATTACAAGGGCAAGAGAATGTATGGCCTACAAAATCTAAAGTAACAAATAGCTAATAACTGACTCTACAGAAAATGCTTGCCAGCCTTTGCTTTAGAGAGATGGTGGCATGGAGGAAAGTTGTTTATTTTTGAAGCAGAACCAGGACATTCTGATGGATTGGATGTAAGGAGTAATATTACGTGAGGATTAAGGGCTGACTAATGGTTTTCTATCTTGAAAAGTTGGTTGGATGAAGATGCCAATTAATGAGATGCAGGAAGACTATTACCATCATTTTTTATATTGGTTTTCTTCATTTTATACCCATTGTGTGGTATAATATAATTTGTGCTTAAATCACATATGTCGATTAAAAAAATAAGTCTTATAAAGACTTATAGATAGATAAAGTAAGTCTTATAAAGCAATACAGCATTTGCTGGGTAGAAACAAATAATGTGAAACAGAAGTAATAAGAATTGCTGTAAAGGTTGCTTTAGGTTTTAAAGTACAAATACTACTGTTGTGAAAACAGGGCCTATTGACCTACTGTTTTACTTGTGCAGTGGATGAAGGCTTTAGTTTCACATCAAAACACTCTTTCAGAACGGTCTAACAGTTGTCAAACAGTTTGGTTCCAGAGATTAGAGTGGAAGAGAAGGTTTTTCCCTGTGTACTCATTATTGTTATGGTAAAATAACCTCATCAAAGTTAGTGACTTTACTTTTGAGGAACAACTGATGGATGAGGCATATTGTGAGCTATTCTTGCCTAAGATAGTATAAACATGTCATATGGTAATCATGAATGTTATAAAAATCTAACTGGAGGTCATCAGGGAGACCCTAGGAAACTGCCAGTGGTCATCTGATCTCAGTGAGAAATGCATAAGAAAAATAATTCCTGGTGTTCTTATATTTGTAGCCGTAGAATTATTTTTGGATTCTTGCCATAAGAAATTCCATTTGGAAAATTGTTTTTACTTAGTTTTCTTTATTTGATACTTTCTAATTGTACCAGTAGTATACTCAGTAGACTCCCTCCTCATACATAGTGCTATATTTTCTGAGAAAATAAAATAGATAGCTGTACAGTTAAGCACATAATGTGCAGGATATAGGTCATGCTCTTTAGAGAATAATAGGATCTCAGCAGAAAGAGATCTTAGAATTAATCTCTAAAATTTGTTACTCAAAACTCAGAAGAGAAAAAGCTGTGACATCACTGTAGTTGACTTGGAGGTTCCTGTGGTTAGCTGTACACAAGCAGTGGTTAAAGGTTTAGAAGCAGCAATACTGACAGTGAAAAGAAACAGCTGTTTCTAGAGAACGGTGATGGAATAACTATAAAGAGCAGACAGATGAACCACAAAGTATTGCTGTCCAGAGGATTTTTACTTTACTCATTACCAAGTCCTATTCATGATTACTGTTCCATATCATGAAGTGTGTGTGTGTGTGTGTGTGTGTGTGTGTATGTGAATGACAGCAAGAATATTTGAGTCGTTAGTTTCAACCCTGGCTATGCATCAGAATTATCTTTTGAATTCAACAGTAACAACCAAACAAAACAATAAAACCAGATGCCCATGATGCATGTCCGCTGATTAAGGATCACCAGAGGCGGTGTCTAAGAATGTGTATTTCTAAACTCCAGGGGAGATGATGACATACAGCCAGGGAAAGAACCACTGGAAATAAATTATGTACCCTTTATTCTGTTTATTGTAGGAGAATATCTGAAAATATATTTTAGAAAAACATGTATGTTATAATTTATCTTGTTGCAGGTTTTTTGGAAAAGGGATTTATGTGAGGTATGTATTTTTTCTCATAGCTGTGGATAAATGAGGTGTTACTTTATAAGCTAGCTTTGGAAACTTTATTTTCTCTTTTATTATTGCAGACATATGGCATCCAGGAGAAAGATGTCTTGCCCCTTCTCCAGATGATAATGGAAAACTTTGTGAAGCAAGCATAAAATCTATCACAGTGGATGAAAATGGCAAATCATTTGCAGTCATCTTATATTCAGATTTTCAAGAAAGGAAAATACCTCTTAAACAGCTACAAGAAGTAAAATTTGTTAAAGATTGCCCCAGGAATCTGATATTTGATGATGAAGATTTGGAAAAACCTTATTTTCCAAACCGAAAATTTCCAACGTCTTCTATTGCTTTTAAATTATCTGATGATGGAGACTCTATTCCTTATACCATCAATAGGTATTTGAGAGACTACCAAAGAGAAGGAGCCCAGTTTCTTTATGGACACTACATCCATGGAAGAGGGTGCATTCTCGGTGATGACATGGGGCTTGGAAAAACAGTACAGGTATTTATTTTAATTACGTTACAATTAAAATTCAATAAAATCACTTTATTGTGTACATGAGAGGATACTATATGTACATCTCTATTTGTACTGCTGTTCTGATAGCTATTTTGTGTGTTCATGTGTATGTTTGTGTTTGTCTCACCAACTAGATAGTGAAGTCCTCAAAGTTGAGGACAATGACTCAGTTATTTTATCATCAGTACTTTAGTACCTATGAAATATTTTATTTAAAAATAATATTTTATACAACTTGGTTTGATTTTTACCTTTGGAAAGGCTGGTACTAACATACAATATATTTGAAGTTATTTAACTTTCTTAATACTTTATGGAAGGTAAGTATTCTAATGTTTGGTACACCACATAGCATGGTTAAATTGATTTCCTACAGGCCTTTTGCGCATATTGTTTAAAGTTTATCATGTTAGAAGTTTTGTAATCTGAATCCCTGGGTCACTAGGAGTTCTGTTTGTGAACTTTAGAGAGACTTCCAAATTCTCTAAAATGTGTACTAGAATCTGTGCACTTAAGTACTTTTCTAAAGAGGGGATCTGTTTTATCTGTTTCTGTATAACAAATTATGCCAACATTTAGCAGCTTAAAACAATACTCATGTATTGTCTGACGGTTTCTGTGGGTTGGGAATCCAGCTGCAGCCTAGCTGGGTTATAGCTTTACCTCTTGCAAGGCTGCAGTCATCTCAAGTTGACTGGGGAAGATTCATTTCCTAGCCCACTTGGTTGTTGGCAGGATTCAGTTCCTTGTGGGTTGTCTCCATTTCTTGTGAGCTGTTGGCTGGAGGCCTCCTTTGCTTTCGTGCCACAGGGCTTCTTTATGGGGCATCTTGTACAAGTTAGCTTGCTTCATCAAGGAAAGCAAGTAAGAGGTCAAGAGACTGCACTGGTGAAATGGAAGTCATGGTCTTTGGGGATGTAATAACGGAAGAGACATCCCCTTACTTTTATTATATTCTCTTCATTAGAAGTAAGTTGCTAGGTCCAGCCAGAACTCAAGGGAAGGAGATTAAACAAGACTGGGAATACTAAGAAGTGGGTATTATTGGGAGCCTGTCACAATCTGCCTACTAGAGGGTCTTTAGCTTTTCTTAGATTTTCAGAGAGGTCTGTGATCCAAAAACAGTTTTGAATCTAGAATTTATACTAAACGATTTAGATTTTCACGTGTGTGTGCCTAGTTTGTAATTAAGTTGTTATTCTGCTTCCTTTCTTATAATTGAGTTTAAGCTATCTTCATATTACCTCCATTAGTTATTGGAACTCAAAGGTAAGTGAAAAACTAATTTCATATTGATAAATAGTCAAATTTTAGCCACCAATGATGGAATGAGGAAAAAGCAAAGGGAAAAAATAGCCAAATAATGCTACTGTGTGTAAAGGTCTGGTGTGAAAAGCTAGGCTAACAAAAAGTCTTTCAATAATCATATTACGATTAACCACATTCTATGTTCCTTTACGGTTAGGCAGTGCAAATAGTTTTTAGGTCTGCACATTGGACATGCTGAATAATTGGTTGTGGAATAAGTGAATTTGCTTTCTTCCTGTGTTCCACAAACCATTATTTAGTATGTCCGGTGTGCAAGTGGAGGATAGATAGAAAGAATATAGAAGGTAGCCTTCAAGAAACCACTATTGAAACTGACCCAGTGGTCCCATAGGCAGTTTTGATTTTGTTTGTTTTGGATAAACATAGAAATTGATGCTTTCTGGTCCTGAAGCTTGAAACTTCTGTTTATCTGAGTTCCTTCCTCAGGAAAGGACCCCCAGGCCTCTTAAAAAGTATCATAGAATGAAACTCACCAAACCATAGAATCCAGACAGTGAGACACCAGGCCTCATTCATCAGATTACTTCCATAGCCCTCTTATGTTCTTATTTTCCCATATATCGTTACATTTCTTCCCTGCTGTATAAACTCCTAATTTTAGTCAGTCAGGGAGATGGATTTGAGACTGACCCTTGGCTACAGTGCTAGATTAAAGCCTTTTTCCTTGACAATACTTGTCTCAGTGATTGACTTTCTATATGGTGAGTAGCAGGACTCAGACCGAAACCCTAGTATTTCAGTCATACCATCTGTGACCAAGATTACAAATGAGTACTGGAGGAAAGTTAATTAATTAAAGCCCTGCTATAACTATTTTCACATACACTTTTACTGTTTTTGCCTATGGTAGAATGTTTCTTACCACAATTCTTTGATGTTCAACTTCAAAATAAGAAACATGAGGGTGCTACAAAAGTGAATTGTGTGGGAACCATTACCCTGCAACTTAAATATAATTCAAATCAAATTCATGTGCACATTTTATTCTCAAATTTGAAGGCTTTCATCTATGAAGCCCATACTACAAATGTACTTTATTTTACAGTTCATAGTAAAATATTTAAGATAGAGCTTCTATAGAGCTTCTGTAGATATGATGACTAAGCCAGTTGAAGAAATGTGAATGATTAATATGTTAACTAGAATTTCAAAATGTAATAAAATTAATTGATAATAAAAACAGACCATTGACATTTACTGTTTGAGCCATAGTTTTATCTTCTTTTTTTCTCTTTTTCCTGATTTCATCCCTTAAGTTTCCCCCTTTTTATATTCTAATTTGGCCATGATGGGAAATTGAACTCTTCTTTTAAGCTTAGTTTCCTTCTCTCATTTCAAATTTAAAAGTAGGTGAATTTAATATTTTACATTCTATGGGGGATGAGGATTGGAAAATGTCCATTTGTTTTAGTGACATAGAAATCCTCGGTATGCTGAGCAACAACCATTTTGCTGGAGCTTTCAGGCACAAACCATAATGGAGTAGTTGAAGACACGGACACACAAAGTACATTTACCTCTTTAAGAAATGTGGCTTTGAAAGGGAGTAAAAGTGATCTAGTAGTAGCTGGAGAGAGAGATGAGAATTTGAGGGAGTTTCTTTTTTGTTTGTTTTGTATTGTTTGGGGATAGGAAAGACGAGTACTTTTTAAGTCAATTGGAAGGACAGATCCAGTTAAGAGGGCATGGTTGAATATGCAACATACATAATTGCATGCCCTCATACACACATATACTTCTGTAAATTCACACACAAACATACATAAGCAAAAAATGGTGTCACATAATAACTACTATCTTATAAGCAGATTTTTTTGGTCAAAGATTACAAACTAATTATTGCCAAATATCTTCTGAAATTTTTCTAAAATATGGAAGAGTTAAAAGAATTGTACAATGAAAAGCCATGTTCTCACCACTTAGATTTTGCTAATATTTCATTATACGTGGTTTATCATATCCATCTGTCTTTTGTTGCATTTTAAAATAGCAGACGTTAATATATTTTATCTTACACACACACATTCAAGAAAAGATCACAACCAAGATAATGAATGTACCAATCACTCCCAGATTTCCTCAGGTCCATTTGTGCCCATGATATGTTCAACACCATGCAGTTCATCACCTACTATTTTTACTTTTAGTGGGACTGAAAAAGCTGCTTGGGAGGAAATTTGAGTACAAAATCCAAGATTTTTATGACTGTTTCCCAATATATCACAGAATTCTTACATCTAAATGCAGCAGGTAATTTGAAAATGAATCTCTTCTACACACTTACTTGATAATAATCTAGTGTAAAGACAATTAACAGTTTCAGCTGGAGTATACAGGTTTGGGAACCTGACCTTTGGTAATCAGACAAGTCAGTGATAGGAAAAGAGGTGAGTGGGTGCTTACCATGGACGACTGGTTATTCTCTAAAGTAGATCTTTGGGTCAGCAGCATTCGTGTCATCTGGGAACTTGCTAGAATTGTAAATTACTGGATCCCACTGCAGACATAATGAATTAGTAACTTTGAGGCAGTAGGAGAGGACAGCAACCTGTGTTTTAACAAACGCTCCAGGTAATTCCGAGGCCCACTATAGTTTGAGAGCCTCTGCTCAGACGGTATGTTTTTTAGAGGGGATGGAAAGCTTGGATTAATCTGGCGAGTTCGGTGAACATTGGTTAAAGGGATATTTAGTCTGTGAATCTTTGTTTTTTCTTTTTTTGTTTTTTTTTGTTTTTTTTTTTTTGAGATGAGGTCTCACTCTGTCCTCCAGGTTGGAGTGCAGTAGCACCATCTCGGCTCACTGCAACCTCCGCCTCCCAGGCTCAAGCCATCCTTCCACTTAGCCTCCCGAGTAGCTGGAACCATAGTCACTCATCACCACACCCAGCTAATTATTTTGTATTTTTGATAGAGATGGGGTTTTGCCACGTTGCCCAGGCTGGTCCTGAACTCCGGAGCTCAAGTGATCCGCCTGCCTTGACCTTTTAAAGTGCTGGGATTACAGACAGAAGCTACTCTGCCTGGCTTCTATGTGAATACATAGGATTATGACCATTTCATTGTTTAAAAAAATGTAGAAATGGAAATGATATTAGAGAAAATTTTGTTCAACTTTTTAACTTAACAGGCGCAGGAGTACTAAATGACTTCCCAATCTAGGGTCAGGCACAGAAGTAATAATTTTCATTTCTATTCTATAACTCTTATTTTTTTCCCTTCTATCATTTGCTGCCTTCATCTTTTGACTTAATAATGCAGTTTATTAAAAGCCTTTTACCCAACTTTTAACCATTTATTCAATTGGTTGACATTTAATAAGTACCCACTCTGGGCCAGGGACTGTGATTGGCACTGAAGAGCTTAATATAAATGCCTATGATACATACCTACTCTGATGGTTAATACCAGTGTCAACTTGATTGGATTGAAGGATACCAAGTATTGATCCTGGGTGTGTCTGTGAGGGTGATGCCAAAAGAGATTAACATTTGAGTCAGTGGACTGGGAAAGGCAGACCCATACTTAATCTGGTGGACACAATCTTACCAGCTGCCAGTGTAGCTAGAATGTAAGCAGGAGAGACTGGCCTAGCCTCCCAGCCTCCATCTTTCTCCCATACTGGATGCTTCCTGCCCTCGAACATTGGACTCCCA